TTAACAAGTAAATATATTAATTCAAAATTTAAAAGAATTGATATCCTTAAATATTTATTTATATATTATAGTACATGTAATATTATTTTAATAAATAAAACTGTGTCCGTTGGTAAGAATTATTAAAAATATATTAAATTTATTTACTTCTAACACCGTTAAGAGTATGTTGACCGTTAAAATAAAGGGGTAAGTGTATTTTTCATAGTACGAGAGGGTAAGTGTTACATAGAAAATAGTACAAGGGGGTAAATTGTGGTTGGGCCCACATAAATATAAACAGAGTGAAATTTAACTGAAATTTAATACCAACTCCCAAAATTTATTCAAGAGAAATCAAATCCTAAAAAATATATTAATTTAAACTAGTCAATAATTGGATGGAAAAAAATTCCTAAATCAACAATAATTAGGAATTGTAGTAGCATGCATACTCCTAAAAAAGAAAAAAAAAACTAGTTGGACTCAAACGGGTAAGTAGAGATCCATGGATCAAGATAGGAAACCAGAAAGTTTCTTCAAGAGGAGAAAAGCCATTATCAGAACCGTCCACACGATCCACACGATCAAACCTCCGATCCTTACATCCCACTGCTCATCCGCACACATTTTGCCATTAGTTATTTCACAATAAGCAATATGTAACAAAATATATACTTACAACAAAATAGTAAAATACTAGGATTGTGTAAAACAAACCTCAGACGGTTCTTTGGTAGGAAGATTTCTGTCAGCACGATCAAGGCAAAAAGTCAACATCTCAGCAATTGTCAACTCTGTCGCAAGATCGTCGCACTCTACAAACACAACAAGTACATATAATCAGTTGTGCGTGTGCGCGAGTGTGTGTAATTAACAATAATATTATCGCAAAAATAAATTATCCTGTTGTAATACCTGGAATATCAAAAACTTGTGTTGTTGGAGGAATGCCTAAGATCTCTCCCAGATGAATACGTACTCTAACACGGTCGGAAACCGACAATATATCTCCATGTGTTACTGCAACAACTGGCTTGTCGTCTGATATACATACATTCACGATAATAGAATTTATTAATCTCCCATTTTTTGACATAATAAAAAACAGAATGGAAATAACAAGATTTATATTTTCTATTTTGTTTTTTTGGTACCTTTATATGACAGCAATGGATTTTTGAAATTTTCGGCAATCAGTTGAGAGTACCGCTTCTTATTTTCATCAAGACTGTCGATTGATTCCAACACAGAGACCGCATTCACAACGAATACGACAAAGTCAACTGCCCTCACCTTATAACTTGTAGAACGTCTCCTCCGAGACTTACACTTCAATCGAGCTTTGAAATCCGTACTGTCCGAATTCCTGAGGAAAAAAAAAAGAATTATCAGTTGCAATTAGTGATGGAAACTCAACGGAATTTCAAATCTCCGTTCATTTCGATCCAAAATTCCTTTATAGAACAATATTTTTCATTCATAATTTCAAAAATCCCGATTTTTAGGATTGGATAATTAAGAAAATTCCAAAAAAATCATTTATAATATCAATATTGTTAATGTAAATTTCTGAATTTCGCCTATTCAATTTCCGAAAATTTTAGATTTTGAAAAAAAAAATTCGTTCAAAATTCCGATTTTCAATTTTTCCATTTTTTTTTTTTTTAACTTAGTTATTAAATTCCAAAAAAATCAAACTTTTTTCGGATGTGCTAATTCCAATCCGATCGGTCCGACTTCCACCCCCATAATTGCAATAAACTAAAACGAAAATATCCAGATAAATATTTCAGCGACTCACCTAGTGACAAGTTCCCCATCACAAACACCCATTGTCATCCAAACGTTGAACAATTCCCGATTTTCAGACAAATCATCGGACAAACTGCGTGTGTCGTACAAAGAAAAAGAACCCGATTTTCTCGGGATCATGTACTCATGCAGGAAACAGGTCCCATCTTCAGTAGGAGAGTTATCTGTTTAAAATCAAAACGACGTAGTTCATATATTTGTAACATATATATAATTCAAAATGCAAAAAAAAAAAAAAACAATTAATATTATTACATGTTACTTGAGCTCTTTCCAAAGTGAACAAGTCCTTGTCAAGAACTCGAGAAATTTTGTTAACAAGGCTACTCTTGCCCGAACCCTTTGGACCAATTAGTAAGAGCGAAGTAGTTTTCGGTACTTTGTACTCGCTCAAATCCACTCCATCTTCTATTTCTGCCCACGAACCCGGAGTATAACTGAATTTTTTTTTTAAACAAATCACTTATTATTTTTTTTTAATTTTATTTAAGAAACTGAAAAGTGAATTTCGAAAATCAAAGAATTAAGAGTAATGGAAAAAATTGACCTCAAAAGTTTAGCTTTAGCCTGATCCAATTTGTGGATAGTTGGAAAGCCCTGATAACTACTCCAAACCTCATCATAAAACTTAATTCTCTGCCTCTCAGAAGCTTCCTCCATTATCGAACTAGTGCAGTAATTCATATCTGGAATTCCTTCGTAATTCTTTTCGCTCCAAACCTCATCATCATCATCATCACCACTGAATAATAAATTTAATCAATCAATACATAAATTCAATTTCCAATGAGAGCGAAAATTCTCTGGGAAAAAAAACTAGGTTATATGTAAATCATACGAAGCGAATCGCCTGGAAACGCCGGATTTAGTTGATTCGTGTGGGGAATTGTGTCCTGCCCATGAGTCCTTCTCTACAGAAGAGAGAGAGAGAGAGAGAGAGAGAGAGAGAGAGAGAGAGAGAGAGAGAGAGAGGTTATAATCAAATACTCAACAGACATGCATATACAAAATATACATACATGTGCGTGAATATGCAATTAAATACATGTGTATATGTTTAATTCATCGGCAGAAAAACGAAAATACAAAATCGAAGCTGTTAAAATCACGTACCAGATGAAGAAGAAGACCACGAATTATAGTTACCGCCGCCACCCATGTTGTTTCTCACACTACCAGTTGCAGGGCAAAAAGCACCAAACTTTAGAGAGAGAAAAAAAAAAAGGAAAGATTAATTTAGGGCGGAAGAGAGAGAAGGGTTTATCAAATACTGAAAATCGTAACAGGAGTATTTGTAGTGATCTTAAGATACCGGCCAGATCTTCAATATCTTTTTGAAAAATAATTTACAAAATTTATTTATATTTTAAAAATCATTTATATATTAGATTATTGTATTTTTTACGTAAAAAATCATTAATTAATTTAGATTATGTTATATAAAAAATATCTTAATTAATTTAGATTATGTTATATAAAAAATCATCTAATGAGAGTGATGTTAAGATATATGTTGAAAGTGCAATGCAGGTGATTCTTGATTAGGTTTATTTCACTACAATATATTTAAGAAAATATCAGAAATTCGAAATATTTTCAACGTAAAATCGAAAAACGAAATCGAAATTTCAAGCAAAACTGCTACTTCCTTCTCACTCTGAAAATTTTGTATACATATAGTATAACATTCACAAAATTTGTTGTGGTCCAGTAATACAGTTGAAATATCATATATCTAGTAAGGAATGACATAAGGCAGAGCAATAATATCTGCGGCCCCCAATTCGATAGCTTCGGCCCAAACATGCTTATGAGTCGACTCGGAACCCAATTTCGGCCTCTTTGCCTTGTATCCAAACAACCAATCTTGATCGTCAAATCTAGGCGGATCTACTTTCGGTACAGTCAAAATCTGGCTCAAGTATTTCAAATCAGGATGATTAGTCTTCGTAACTTTCTTCTCCTTCTCCTTACGAGCTTTTACAGATACGGACAACGGCCTCGATGACGTGGACGTTTTACCATCTAATGCGCCATTATCCAACTTCCTTCCATTCTCCACAACGGGCCCCGAGTTTGGTTTCACATTTGTCGGATTAGTACTATTGCCATTACTCGTTGCATGATTATTTGAACCGGCCTTTCCGTTATGAGATGTCGAGTGGTTATTTTCAACCACTAATTGAGAGGACGAGAGCTTGCCGTTGATCTTCCCATTTGTAATAACACCGTCGATCTTTTGATTTGTAATAACGGCCCCTTTCTCCTTCTCCACATGATTTGTGATGACGTCGATCTTTTGATTCGTAACAGGAGAAACTTTTTCCACAACCGCCCTTAACGTAGGAGTATTGGGTCGAAATCCGTTGTCTTTTTTGGCGCCAAAAAATAAATATAAAAACATATTAGGTCAAGAAGTCACACACCCGATAATAAATAATAAAATAAATGAAATGTTCTTTTACGGCAGTAATTAATGATTGATAAAAAGCGAAAGAACTCACCATGCAAAACGCCATTCATCGCGCGCTTTTCTTGTTTCGGAATATTTCCCCAACCGTCGAGGCTCTCCTTCAAATGATCCGAGGGATTATTATTATTATTATTATAAAGAGCATTACCGTTGTTTTCTGTTTGTTTAACGTTCTCTTTACTACTCTCCTTCACCTTCGTCTGTTTCTTCTCCTTCTCCATTTTCTTCTCCTTTTTCCTCTCTTTCTTTCTCTTCTTTTCCTCCCTCTTCTTATCTCGATCTTCGTTCTTGCCTTCGCCGACACTATTTCCATTTTCCTTCTTTTCTTTTAACTCATTCCTCTTCTCGATTCCATCTCCACAAAACTTCCCATGAAAACCGTTTATAGAGCCATTAGCCTCAACTTTGGGAGTGTGTCCATTAGCCGTAATAAGCTCATGCTTTTGTTCCACGACTGCGATTTTCCCAAGTGTTCGATTATCCGTCGTCGCCCCATCGTCATTTCGAACTCTTTTTCCCAATTCGACCAGAATTCTATAATCCTGCATTCCATCGGTCGATTTGCTATCGTCGGCAACACACTTCTCGGTTTTTTTCTCTTGCTTATCTTTCTTCTTTTGCTTCCGGTCATCTTTATGTTTACCTTCACTTCTATCCTTTTTTTCCTTTTTCTCGCTTCTTTCTTTCTTGTCTTTATCCTTCTTTTCCTTGTGCTTTTTGGGCTTATGCTTCTCCTGATAAATGACGAGCAAAATCTACACGTGTCATACACCAAGTCGATTTTCATAAAAAGCGACACTAACGTATACATACACATAAAGCTCTTGAAATACATCCCATTCCAAATAATGGGTGAACGTGAAATCATTAACCGCAAGTGTCTCTTTTGTTAACTTCGGTTCACGAATTAGGAAAGACACGTGGCCAAAGATATGCTCTTAATTTTCAAGATCAAGCAGTGTAAAACCAAGAAACCGAAATACTTATAGTTTACGATATATATATATACCATCTTAGGCCTCGTCCCTATAAATCATGCCAAGAAAGCTATTATGCCATAATACACACAATCACACGATCATCTTTCAATAAAACGTGCCAAAAATAGCTAACTTCCTCTATACGACTGTGTCCCAATACTACAGTGGCAAAATCCCATGTCCCATAATTTATAAACATCCGACAGCCTTAAAAAAACCATCACAAAAAAACAGATTCGAGTGAAGCACAAACCTTCGATATCAAGTTCACGTTATCGGGGCTAGCCTTTATCTCATATCCAGGTGGCGGAAATGGGAAACAGCGAGACATTGCACGTGAAAAAACCGAACGGAAAAACACTTATGTTGGTCATGCACCATGCCCTTGCATTACATTTCCAGCCTGCCACTCACACTGTTAAAAAACGAAAGTTCGAACATCGATAAAATGTGCTCAATTCCCCTGCATTGTACTTGAATTTTCGGAATCAAGAAAAATTACTAACATTTAAGCAGTCATTGTGGCGAAGAGGGTATTTTAATCGAATCAAGAAGTTTCGTTTCTGTACGAATATCGAGAATCTGCACTTCAACCAAAAATCGAATCAAGGGATTTGCTGTGCAGAGTGTTACCACTAATCAAAGAGCTGAAAATCAACATTAGCCAACAAACACCAGAACACTCAAACATGCTTCAATTCATAACTCAATCTGCTGCACGTGCCATTCATGTGAGCATGGTAATAATCTTAGGATTTTTTAGAATGGAAAATCAGGGCTTTACTCCAGGATCAAACACTAAACTCAAAAAAAAAATGAAAAAGAAAATAAAAATTAAAAAAAATCCCAGCAATCCAAATTGAGGTGAAAAAAAACATAATCTGCAAAAGCAAAGTTCTTTCACACTTATTTCGAAAACAAACAGATACATTGTAAAACAAAGAGAGAAACATCACGCAAGAGAAATCTGAACAAGTTTATCTCTTCTCTTCCCCTACCTCTTCTCTCTTCTTTTTTTATTCTCTGTATAATTTAAGTATGTATGTGTATGTATATATATTTATACAAATTGTCCTCAGATCCTGTTACAGAGTTTTCAATTTTTTTAATGGGTTTTTCTCTGAGAAAGGGGGCCGCCTCCCATGAAACCCCAAAAGGGAAGAGATCCAATTGTTTTAGCAATAGGCGTATTTATAAGGGGCGGAAGGAGGAGAGAGAAAATGTTGAGGAGAGAGAAACGTTTTAAATAAAAAAGAAAAAGAAAAAGAAAAAAGTCAAAAAACAGTCGCTTCTAAAAGTGATTTAGAAATTAGCTTTTTATAGAGTATAATTATAAGTTTAGATGAAATTAACTTTTACTCTTGCTTCTCTAAAATTAAGTTCTTTTAAGCTATATTTTTAAGAAGCATCACTACAACTGTTTTTTTTATTTAAGTTGACTTTTCAGTATAGTTACAAACAATCTTAACTTTTAGAAATAAACAATTTATACTCATACATATTTTAACTCATAATTACTAATTTATGTTTTTTTTCAGTACGCTTTTGCAAACACCGCCTAAGAAGAATACAACGCGTAACAATTCGAGTTCAATTTTTATAGTCAACATGTGGGCTACTATACTACATTTGTGGATGGAAAACAAGAAAAAATTGAACCCAGTTATAGTGAGTCAAATTATTTAAAAGGGCAGCTGAAATAAATGAAATTTCAATGTCAAAATATTTGTAAATATTTACTTCAATTTCTTTTGTCTTGCACAAAAAAAGGAATTCCCACATTGTAAGTATAGGTACATTATTGTGGCTATTGATGAATGAATGGTTATATTCTTATCGTGCGCAATTGTTGCAAATTTACGGTGACATGTTATCCGATGTATTTACCCGATATAGCATCTATAAGTCCGTCGAGTTATAATCTATTAATTTGTTAAGTGTTGTATGATTCTTGACATCTCAACTATTGCAATAAATCCTTGACTAATGACGTTTACCTTGCGAGGGATAAATGTCGCATGTTCACATGGATGGATAAGGTTTTAGAGGACATGTTTGCCATCGACTTAAATCGTTCGTCAGTTATGTTTTTCTTTTTTTTTTTCTTTTCGCTTTAATCTCGAATATGCACTTGAGAAAAAAAGAAATGCATCTTTGAGATACAGCTCAATTTAGTTTCTATCTGTAACATTGTTTTCTCAAGAATGGTTCTGGATACATCCCAAAAATTCAAAAACGAACTTAAAATTTTCTGACTTAAATCGTTTTTTCGTGCAGAAAGATCCGCACTTAAAAATAATCGGTGTGCTTAGCTATAACTGTAATGACAGTTGGGAATCCCAGAATCATCGTTAGCGGAAAAAAAAAGGTTTAATTTGAACTCTTTACAGGTGAATAACTGTATGGGCGGTCAAAGTTTAGAACTATTATAAATTTATAATGAATATGAACACTTTTTGTTTGTTGCCTCATAACTTCACAAAAAGAGACCGTCAGCATATCTCAGAGGTAGTGACCCTGCGGGAAGGGGGAGGACGCCGCCAGTAAAGGTCGTTCTAAAATATTCGACTGAAACGATGACATGGCAAACCCTGCCGATTGTGGGCCCCCTATTGATGGATTTGGATGTGAACTGCAATCGTAGAAAGGATAAATGATCAACTAAAAGACTTTCTATCTCTATCTCTTATCTCTCAACAATTTCACAATATTCATATTTACAGATAAATCGTGTCGAACTTACCTGAAAGACAGGGATAGGGAAGGCTCCCCTGAAGAAGCTATTGCGTGGTGATTAGTGGGAAACAGCGACCACAAAACTGAAAAGCAGCAGTGATCCTTAAGTCATGAAGCGTATCCTTAATAAATATAAACATATAAAGGGCTCGATGCTAAATAATAATATTTGAACATTACCTGATTGTTGTGAAGGATTAATAAAACCAGGGCAGATCATTACATCCTGTACAAGGAAGGCCACAAAGTTTAATAAACAAAAAAAAAAAAAAAAAAAATTGATCCAGGGACAATGAGACACAAAACATAAAGGAACTTGCCTCTTTGGCACCTTGATTTTTGTGGAACGTCTCTGCAAGAAGTAAAGTTGCTCGTCAGAAAAAAATGTGAAGATGCAAAAATCGTATGAAGGAACAAACCAAAATGAACAAATGTACATGATTTCAAATGGTAGTTTATGTATTTAAGGAAGTTAACCAAAATAACTGACTGGGAAATGACCTATCGGTCATTACTTCACTTTATAATACGCTAGTCTGAAAATCGACTTTCTGAATGGAAACTCAGTAGGAACAAAGGGTCTTAGCAGCTATCCTGAAGATGCTCATTAATTTGGTGGTGTTATAGCAAACGAGAACAATTTGTTCAATAAAAGCTAACAATAACTTTATTCTTGGGTGCAGAGATAAATAAATAAAATGAAATCACCCGCATATGACATTAATAACAACTTAAAAAACCACAAAAACAAAATTTTACCCAAGTTTGGAGCACTGGGTTTTACTGCCAACGTCAAGCCAAGATAACAATCATCCTTTGAAGTGCCAAAGTCCCACAGGTTCAGTTCAAGATTGGGTTCAGATCCTATATACATGTTAATTTGTAGGAACATATTATAGACTCTGCCTAAATCATTCAGGGATATGCTAATCTTTAATTAAAATTACCTAGAGTTAGTTCCAGTGTATTTCCAGGAGAACGAGGAACCCACTTGGTAACCTAATCATTGGAAGAAGTTAGGTACATATAAAGCAACTAGGTAACATAGTTAAATTTTGAAATGTATATTACGTGGAAAAAGGGATGTTGCAAGCATTGATCTGCAGTTGGCCTCTTTAACGGATCCCATGAACAAAGTTGCTGACATGGAAACAATATTATGTTAAAGATGCTTAGACCAAAAAGTTAGGTCAAAGTAGATCCACAATAAGATGGAGCAAAGAGATTTAAGTTACCTTGATCAAGTCAATTGCTTCTGAGCTTGCGTACGGAATAATTTGAGAAAGATTAGCAGGTACGATCTATCAACAAATTTGACATCAAATCAATTCAGAGATAAGCAGGACGAAAATATGAGAGATTAATAGCAATATAATGTGAAGGTTCAAGGGAACTCACATCTGAATAAGTGATATCAGCTAATCGAGAAATGTTTGTCGCCTCGGGGAAGGTATTCCAGTCTGGTGCCCCAAGTACACAGCATATCTTGTATAGTTGATCAATTTCACTGTTCATATATGGAACGAGATTTACATGTTATTACAGGACACATCTGTAGATACTTGACTATCGCAGTCTTTTAGCTGATTAGATATTTCACATATAACCGGATAAATATATGTTAGATAAATAGATCATGAGGTCACCTTTCCCCAGGAAAAATCGGGTCCGAAGTGAAAAGCTCAGCCAGTATTGCCCCGACTGCCCACATATCTGTAACGATTTAAGGATTTAAGTGGATATAGTCTAAGAAAACAGAAATATACAAACAACTATTCCAACATATCTTCTCATGGAAGCATATATATTAAAAATCGATGATAAAATCAAAGTGCCAAGTTTCATCTAGTCTTGCACAAATTTTGTAAATATAAAATTTTGCGAGACAACAATCATTTACAACACAAGCATTCGCAATAATCAACCACTATTGAGAGAGAACAACCAGGAATAAAACAACAGAATACAGCAATTCCATAAACTATAGAATAGAATGACAGGAAGCGGGAGTGAATAATATAGCTTTGCATACCAATGGCAGGGGTATAGGATGCAGATTGCAACAATACCTCTGGAGCTCGATACCTAGCCCGAAAGAATTAATCAAATGTAAGATAAACATTGATACTTTTCATAAAAAAAAAAACAGAGGTGCATTGGCTTAGATAACTTGCCAGCGAGTAGAAACATAGTCAGTATAAGGAGGCGTAGATGACAATTCTCTAGCCAGTCCGAAGTCAGCTATCTTTATTGTGTTATTTGTAACCAGCAAATTCTCTGAGAGTAGAAGGATTTCAATTAATTAAATCTATGAAATTATTTCTATAAAGCAAAAGCTTGTCAATTATGATGCAGAGAAAGCCTTAATAAATTAATACCAGGTTTAAGATCCCGATGAAAATATCCATGTTTATGGACATGTGCAAGTCCTTGCAGCACCTGAGACATCAGAACTCGAATCTCTTCCTCTGAGAAAGATCTTTGCTGATCTTTCATTATTTGGTATAAGTTGTGTTCCTGGAAATATAGTTATATAAATCTCATGATCAAGAAGGTATTATAAAATTTTCACTGGTGATATTATTTTTTTTTAATAACTTTAAAGTCAGATCAAGACATACAGTCTTAGGCCTATTATTGTCTATAAAGATCAATTTTCATCAGAAGGACGAGGACAAACGGGAACAAAACTAAGCATGACTTGGGAGTATAAGTGAAAAGAAAAATCAAAATAAATTTCAAAGAAAGTGAAGTTTAAAGAATTTTCTGTATTTATGCCACAAATTAAATCAAAGGAATGTGAACTATTTATAGCTTCACATGTTTACAGAGATCCTTTGCCCATACATTGTAAGAATATGCCGCATAAGTTCTAACATGTATGGAATGAAAAGAACAAAGGACGAAAGTAAGAACAGAAAATAATTTGCAAAAGAGTAAATGAAATCGCATGATATACCATGTACTCGAATATGAAGAAAAGCTCATTGTTTTGTCTGACAATCTCCAACAATTTTATGATGTTAGGATGATTTAATCTGCGGAGGGACTACACATAAGAGGAAATAAGAAATGTTAGCCAAAGTAAGTAAGAGCACCCTCCATATAACAAGTTCCATCAGCTTCAAGAGAAAAGCCACCATCAATTGACTCAAATACCTTTACTTCCCGTAGGTTTACACATTCATCCCAGTAATAAAACTTTCTCTTCATTTTCTTGACAGCAACCTGCAACAGATCCTAAGTTAAGATGGGTCGCTTTTCATATAACGTTATATATTAGATGTTACATTGAATTGCCTTTTCTGTAACATAATCTCACTGTAGAACTTCGCAAGAAAATAGAGATAAAATGAAAGAGGGTGAATTTTGCTCACAATCTCAGATGTTTCAATATTTACGGCTTTATATACACTGCCGCATGTTCCATCACCAAGCTCGTCCAAAAATTTATATCTGAAAAGACAAGGGAAAGAAAACAGCCCCGTGAGGTTCACAAACTGCCAGAAGAAAGTCTTTACCAGTTGCGTTCAAATGAGTAGTAATAGGAAAATACTCACTTCTCCATTCTTAGATTTACAAAAAAACTGGACTGTTGAAGTTAGCTCAATAGAGTTCTAATCTTTTCAAAGAGGTTCTGTACACTTTTTGAACAGTGTTCTTCTGCTGTATGAGCACATCTATGCTTACATCCACCAAATAATACAATATGTAATAGAGTGCGGGCTTCTCATTGTACGAATGATTAAATATCAACCAAAATGATATCAACATGCTTATATGCAGCCTTTACTAGCTGCAAGCACAGATTATCATCTAAAAACAGCAACCGTCTCCTTGCGCACCTTTCCTAAAAACTTGAGCAGAGTGTTCAAATTTATCTAAATCATCAGCAAGAAACTATCCAGGCACCTCAAATTTCATCCACCTGTCACAATTTAAAAAAATCAAATAAGCAAACAACCGGAAAAAAAAAATTAACCCAAAGAAAAATACACTTGCCAATTGGAAATTTATAAAAGACTAAACCGACTGCTATGTTGGTTCTAGCCTTCAGAAAGATTCCACTATTAACTATATCAGCCAATTTCTGCTAAAATTAACCCTAGAAAATCTTGCAGATATCAGATAAGTGCATACAGCAACTGCATATAAATAAATAAATAAACCTTCAAACAAATTGCGACTAAAATAAATAGAAATCTAAATTCAGAGGTAATGTTTTCCAAAAATGTTGGAGGTAACCAAGAACACAATTTCGGTAATCTAATATTCAGGTGAAATTTTAATCAAATTCCGGCCTATAGTATACAATCAACTCATTTATTGAAAAAATAGATTCGCATGTAACATACTAATTTCAAGGGCAAACACTGAAGGGAGGAGAATCAAAACTAGATCAGCGAGAAAATTCAAGTCGGAGAAAAACATAGGGCTAACAACCACGATCAGCTCAAAAATAATTAAAAAATAAAAACCAAAATTACACTCATTATTGCACAGTCCACCAAATTCAAATTGCGGATACCTCACCAATCAAAAGCACAAGTATAGAATCTAATACCACATCCGCGCAAAAATGTATAACTTCTCAAAAAATTGGTAACAAAAAATCGGAAGAAATAAAACTTAGAAGCCAATTGAACTCACCTAATATGGAACTGTTAACACGCCATGACTGAAAGAGGAAGATCTAGAGAGAGAATATATGTGCGTAGAGAGAGAGAGAGAAAGAGAATTGGATATTCGGATCAAAATGCAGAAAGAAGACAGGTATCGTTGAAAACAAAGGGAGAAGGAGGAAAAGAGGAGAGAGAGAGAGAGAGAATTGAATTAACGGAGCTATGTATGTATATATGTTATCAATATATAAAACAGAAATTCCGCAGAAGTAGCGTTGGAGAAGAAAACCCAAACGCATAATATCAAATTAATAATTAATTAAATAATATAATATGCAAAAAGCATGCTTTTATTTAGGAAAATATATATAAACAATGGGGAAGGGGGTGAAGGGGAATCGGTCCTGGCACTGAATGACGAAATTACCCTTCTTAAGTGCGAATATTACCTATTAGAATATGTGTGGCTGTTTGGATGGAGTGGAATTAATTTAGTCACGAGACTTCCCTAGAAAAGAAGACTGAGGGTAAATTTGACCACAGGAAATCGTTGGTGCATATCTAAGTAGAATATTACTTTCTCATGAAGACTTAATTAAAAATTTAAAATTCTACTTACTTTCTCATCAAGACATAATAAAAAAAAAATCTTAATGACAAATATATTCAAATATCAATTTGTTATAAAATTTGTAAATAATTCCCTGAATAATAAAATAGGGCAAATTACGGCCTCCAGGTAAAGTTAAATTACGGAAAAAATCTATCATGTTTGGATAATTACAATCACCCTCAATTATGTATTGTCTATTGAATGAAGCGTTTTTTTCGTTAAAAAATACATAATCAGGGTGGTTAGTTTTAATTATCCAAATACATATGATTTTTTTCGTAATTTAAACTTATTTCAGAAAGTGACCGTAATTTCTGGATAAAATACAAAAGTATGCAAGTAGGAATGTAGGATAGCTTGGATCATTGGGAGTAGCCCGTTGGACCACCCTCTTAGGTGGACCCAACTTGTATATATTATTATTATTATGTTGGTGTCGGACTTGTGTTGGGCTATGTATCTTAGACTAGGTTAGCCCAATTACCCGGATCCGATCCGACCCCAACCCGGCCCGTTGACTGTTGACCCACAACATTTTGTTTAAACAATTTTATTAGCTTTAAAATATTTCAACAAATATAATTATTTTTATATAAATGTATTACCATTGACCAAAATAAAATTCTATTACATATCACTCCAATATCATAGTACATTGTCCAAACCAAAACTATATGCATACATACATATATATATATATATATATATATATATATATATATATATATATATATATATACAAATCAAGGCTCTACAATGATCTTGCCAGTAGCATGGCCAGCAATGCCCTTACTCCAAGCCACCTCAGCATCCCCCAAACAATGCCTAGAATCAATAACTGTCTTAAGCTTCCCTTCCTTAACCAACTCTACAAGAAACTTCAAACCAACATCATCCTTCGGTATCAGCATCAACGGCTTAAGTTTCTTCCCCGAGCAAGTGATCCTCTTCACCGCATAAGTCCACATGGCAGCTGGCCCCGGCGTAAGATCGACCACAACCCCATCCTCCTTCAGATTCCCCTCGAAAACCGACCACGCAACCCCCGCCGCGCAGTGGACCACCGCGTCGTACTTCCGTCCGGAGGGGCTCTTGAGTGCTGCGCCCTCGGGGGTTTTGTAGTCGAGGACCTCGTCGGCGCCGAGGGATTTGACGAGTTCGAGGTTGCGGGCCCCGCACGTGGCGGTGACGTGGGCGCCCCCGAGCTTCGCCAGCTGGACGGCGTACTGGCCGACCCCGCCAGAGGCGGCGGTTACTAGAATGTTCTTGTGGTGAGGATCTTTTCCGGTGAGGTCTAGCCCGATGAATTGGGTTAGTGCCATGTGGGCGGTGAGGCCAGCCACGGGGAGGCTTGCGCCTTCGGCGGCGGAGACTTCCGGTGGCCGGAAAACGGTGAGGATTTCTTTAGCAACTGCGTATTCTGATAGACCGCCGCCTTTCTGTTTAATTAGTAGATAGGACACATAACAGTTAGGACATGTATAGATAAGGCATGAAACAACTATATGTATCTACAACTTGACAAGATATATATATATATATATATATATATATATATATATATATATATATATACTTACAAGAAGACTTAGAATTGAGACAACTTTGTCCCCAACTTTGAAGTTTTTGACTTGAGATCCAACTTCAACTACCTCTCCAGCCACATCAGTACCTGCTCGATAGAAGGGAAACGAAGAGTTAAACTATATTTTTAGTGTTAATGGCATGAAGTAATTACACTCAAAATCTCTAAGTGTACATTTAAACGACGGTTGAGGACTTTAGGCACTAATTTACGGTAGAAAAAAAAAAACGAGCGTGGTATGAAATGACTAAAAAGCGGGCATGATTCGAAACGATTTCAATGAAAAAGGACTTAAAATCCACCACAGTTGCTAAAAAGGAAACGAAAGATTCGAGCTACGAATTTGAAATTCCTTATCGAATGACTTGATTCAAACAAGATAAATTGATTTATAATCACGGATTTGAAATCCCTCCTTCAAATCATCTAATCCAAATGCAGACCAAAAAAATAAATTAAATTTCAAGAACACATTGTAATAGAATCTTCATTAGTAGTATCTATCTATCGATCGATCGATCTACGCATTGCAATGAATGTCGTATCCCATGCATAAGTACAACACAGAGGAAAGAAACTGCAATATGACACGAAAAATAACGGACAAGTTTCATTGAGACAATAAAGCAAACACCTGGCGGGTAGGAAAAAAAAAATTTGAAATGCGAATGAAACTTACAGGGGATTAATGGAGAATTCCTAGCGAGGAAAGGACGAAGAAGGGCTTTAAGCTGGTAAGCTTTCCAATCAACTGGATTTAAGGTTGCGGCTTCCAATTTTATCAACACTTCATCTTTACTTGGTGTCGGAATCTCAACTTCCACGTGCTGCAATTCAGATCATAACACGTTATATATACATATACGAAAACTTTATTTCACGACAAAGCAAAGTAAAATTACCTTCAAACCAACAGCTCCACCAACGGAACCGCCGTACACGACTGCATGCATAAGCTTCGCCACCATTTTCAAAACCCAGAAGAAAAGAAATACTGCTTTAATTAGTTTCAACAATAACTCAGGGCACAAACAACAAGCTATATAATAATTAAGCAAGCAAATGTTAAAGCTTTATTATAGAAGAAGATGAAGAAGCAAGTATATTTATAGAAATTAGAATTGTGACACCCCGCCCGTAATGGTTTACTGTTCTTCTTTCTTTTGCACTTACTTTTCTGGTCAAAGTCAAACGATGCGGTTCGATTTTTCTTCCCTTGCTTTAAAGAGAAGATATTTTAAAAACCCCCTTATATTTTGATAAATTACACCCAACCCCTGAAATTTATAAATTTGTTACATCCACATCCTAAAAGAGGGTGTTAATGTAAGAAATCTTGAAGTTTCATAGAAAACTGAGAGAATTTTTTGTAAATAAACATTACCCCATGGGTGATTCATCACTGTAGCGCTGTTTTATTATTTTATATATGTTGGAATGAAGAGTTTTATTATAAACAATTATGTTTGGTGTGAAAATAGCACAGCCCACGTATATGATGACCTAATTTCAAGTTGGCCGGAGATAGATGACACGTGGACTAGGTCCGATATAAATCATGTACAACCTAGATAAATTAATACTCGATAAATTAATAAATACGTTTAAATAATATTTTTTTCTGATTCTGACTCGATAAAAGAGTGCTGAATTATTAGTTTCATAATTTAACAATTCGCTACAATAATAGAATTTTATTAGTCTCGACTTTATTAATTTACAGAGTTTTAAATTGTAGTTGACTTTCTCGTATGCATTACATATCTGCATACATCATTTAAGAACATAAGTGAATCAAATATTGAGGTAATTGTCACAAATATTTTAGGCAAAAAAAGATTTAAGCAATTGTAATCATCTACTGTAAGAAATACAATTTCCCTAGTCTATGTAATAAAAAAAAAAAGAGAGAAAAAAAAAAAAAGGGATTCTCAATTCAAAACATGTTCTGTAATAAAAGCCAAAGCATCATTGCCATTCTTCCACAAATCTGCAACAATTTTAGCAACCATCTCCGAAAAGGCATTAACCAATTCCGGAATTTCTTTCACGGCATCATCGAACGAAGTCCTCGACTTTTCCACCAATCCCGACACAGCATTAGCCAGACCGGTCGAAGAACTCGAAACCCCTTCTTTAAAAACATCAAAAAGAGAAGACAAAATGTTTCCAATCACCTTTAATACAAATTCCAACGAGTACTTCAAAAACGTTTTAACCATGCTCTTGATTTGCTCTATAACTCGTTGACTTCCCTCGCCGGGTACTTTAAGGGCTTGGATCATTTTAACGAGCACGTGGGCCCCGCCTGTGAACACGAGGCGCGTTATTAGATTCCATAACCCGCTGAAAACGAAGAAAACGATCTTGAGTAACACGACAGCCATTTTCTAGGAGCTTGATTCTTGATTCTTGGAAGAGGGAAGATCAGTTTTTCTTGTTGTATATATATAAATATATATTGATTTTAATTAGAGTTTAGTGAGTTGAAATCCATCTATATATTATAAAAGAGGTAGTTGTTGTGTGCACATTTTAACAATTCAAAAGTCTTAAAATATAATTTTGATGAGTTCAGAAAGACTTGGCTTAGCAATTTCCTTATGTTTTCTCTGTATGTGTATTGAAGTTTGACTTTTTAACTAATGCTTTTTCAAAAATTGACCTGGGATTTTGACTTTTTTTTGTCACAAAATTTCAGACATCAATAAAACTTCAAGAAGTAAAAGACAATTGCATATATGTACATTATATTTTGCCATCAAGTAAAAGTGTATATATACATCATATACACATGCACCTCCACATTTTGCTAGGTGCAAGCAAGCAAGAAATAGTTCATCTATACAAAAGTATACGCCTATTATTAAAAAAAAAAAAAAAAAAAAAAACCGAGCCCGTTTACTTCAGTACTCGTCGAGCATATACACATCACTCACAAAATTCTCCGTTTCCCACAAGAAAGAACCGAAATCTCGATAAGATTCACCGCCTCAATAGACTTCGGTTTTGCACACATCTGAATCATCTCTTGGTCGAACCCCATCACGTAAAATCTCAAACTCTCCTGCGATATTTGGCCCACACGAAAAAATGTCGGAAACAGGAAGTTGACTTTGATTTTGACCTAGACCTTGACCACCAGTACTGAAGTTGGAAGTGCTCGTGTTTAAGACCCGCTCGAGGAAACGTCTCAAAGAAGCGGACTTCAGAAAGTATCCGTACAAGATAGAAGCAGCGTATAATCGGCAGAGGCGAAGCCTTTGTATCTTGGTTGTGACCCAAGTGTCGGTGACGTTAGCGTTACCCCTGCATTGACATTGCTATTTTTCGACATAGACAAGGAATTTCACAGGTGTAAATTGTGTAATCACCTGCAAATGAAAATTTTCATAGGTGTTAAATGCTAGTAAAACATACATATATAGCTGTAGAAGAGTAAGAGT